CCCTTCTTTAACAGAGATACAGTGCCAGCCTGTTTTGACAATTGGTAAATACTTCACAACAGTGATGTTTGGAAGACTTTAGCTGCTGATGGCTGTGAACAATAAGGCAGTAAAATAGTCAGATCAATCAAAGGCTAGCATGACAGGCAGATTTTGAAAAGACAAAAATTGTGATTTGATCTTCTGTAAAGTTCAGAAAATTAGCACAAAGGAGGATAATTTAGAACTGTTTTACCAACATAAAACAAACTTCCAAGTAGGAAAGCATAAATTATAAATGTGATGACAAGTTGTACAGATGGGATTAAATGAATTTGGTTTTAGGTTGCTCTTTATGCTTGTTCTCTGTAAAATAAGTGAAATCATTTCTTGTCAGTTTAATCTTGCGAAATGTTTTCTCAATCCACTTTGAAGAGACTAAAATCGTGTGCAAAAATTAAGAATATCGAATCCAGATCACAAGAGAATGATTATAATAAGCCTGGATATAAGTTATTTAGACATCAGTCAGTCCAGGTGCCCTGCTAAATATAAGATACTTTGGCATAGCTACACCCAAGTAAGTATCGAAAGGCCAGAGTACAAACTTGTAGTAGCTACAATAATATGCAAAGGATTAATTATCTTTCACCAGCTTTTTTTTCCAGGAGAACAGGCTTGTTTAAAGGTGTACTGTCTCAGAAAACTATTTGGCAGTCTAATTTTTATTTGTTTGCCAAGCACAATGAAATGTGGGCATACTGCTCTACCTTCACCATCACTAGGTCAATATGTTACAGACAAGAGCTAGTGATCACTGCATAGTTAAAACACTGACTTCTATCTAAGTGTACAATGGTCAAAGTATATTATATACATGGAAAGAAGGATGAACCACAGTCAGCCCATTTCTATCCTATCAGCCTCTCAAGCTTCAATGGTATTATCATTTTTATTATCATTGGTGTTATGACTCCTTCCCTTGAATTGCCTTAATAAATATTCATTTCTTGGTCTGTCAAAACAGTAATCTCTAAGTCTTATCAACTTTAATCCAGGCACAGATGCAAGATTTAAATATCATAAGCGTAATTAAAAGACACAACATAGAAATAGATCATTGGAGACAAAACAGGTACAAGTTATTGTTTACCCTTCATCAAGCAAATGGTTCTAATCACATTTCTTCACTCTGTTCCCATATTTCTTTCATTCAGTTACCTTTCCAATCTAATCTTGAATGTTAACATAGTTTCTGCCTTAACCACAATATTGCAAGTGAATTCCACACCTTCACAACTGTCTCTGGAATGAATTCCCTCTTGCTCTTTGTTCTAAATCTCTTGCATTTAATCTTGTACCTATGACCCCCAGCCCATTCTGGACCTTTCAACTATTGCAAGCAAGCCTATTTCAACCTACTTTTCCCACGATTCCTTATTGCAAACACATATATCATATTACCCCATAACCTATGGCGTTTTAATAGCAAAAACCTTGAAGAAGCTTTCATTTTATTCATTCGTGGTACGTAGCTTCCTTCAACAGCAAGATAGCATCAATATGACTACAAACTGAGGAACGTTAGGAAAATTAAAAGCATTGAGTGTCAAAGGAAATACCTCTATTGATTGGGGCTATGATTGACACAAATAAAAATGGTTGTGATTATCTGACAGAAACTGCTAATTGTAACCCAAGAGCATTGCTGCAAGTGTGTCTCAGAATAGTGAACATGTTTGATCATTTTAAGTGTGACCTCCTCCTCTTGGACAACATGATCAGAAGTGCATTCATCTGCCAATGATACGGTTTCATTCCTAATTTTTTTTTGATATAGAAGCAGTTTATGGCAGCCAATAGTAGCAGCTGAGAAAAATCCACTTCTGATCTAACAAGTGACAGGTGGCATTTACATCACATAAATGCCTGGAATTAACATTCCAACCGAAAATAAAGCAGAGATAGTAGGAGATAACAAGGTGTAGAGCTGGATGAACACAGTAGGCCAAGCAGCATCAGAGGAGCAGGAAAGCTGACGTTTTGGGTCTGGAGCCTTCTTCAGAAATGGGGGAAGGGAAGGGGATTATGAAATAAATAGAGCA